TTATATATGATGATTTTCGATTTTTAATTTTTTTCTAAAAATTAATTTCGTTTTCTATTTTTGTTTTAAAAAATCGTGATTTTTGATTTGATAAAATCATAGATTTTGATCAGATTGAGATAAAATCATGTATTTTGATTTGATTTAATATTATTACAACCTATATATAATTGTGATTTTAGTTGTAAACAATTTTTTTTAATTTTTTTTAAATTAAAAATAATTTTAAGGAGAGGTAAAGAGTAATAGCCACTCTGAAATTCAATGAGAGAGCTTTAAACGAAATTTTTACTTCGCTTATAATATATATGATTTTGATCTGTGTTTTTTAAGACATGAATGATAAATAAAATGCAGATGGTCCTTACATGCAGTTACTCTGTGCTTTTGCTGCATCCCATTCAAAGCTTTTGCTAAATGAGAAAGTGCACTGTTACTTTTTTTAAAATACACTAATGCCCCCTACATTATCTTTTCCCCTAGACCCCTATATATGATCTCCTCCTTCTAATAAACCATCCCCATCCTCTGGAATCCTACCCTTGACAATCGTCGTCTTCTCCAAAAACATCTCTCTCTACTTTTCTTGATTTCAAGGTTTGAATCAGCCGACTTTATAATACGCCTCCTCATCTACAAATCTTCCATTTCCTATCTTCTCGTTGAATCTTGTGTGGGGTTTATATCATCAGAACTTTTTAAGATCTTTCCTGATTTATTTCTTCTTGAATCATTTGCAGAGATACGATGAAACCGGATCGAATCTTGCTCTAGATCTGTCAAGATTTATCACAAATCATGACAATGTTTCCAGAGGACGACTCGATACAAATCTGCGAGGTGTGGAACGAGAATCTTGAATCAGAGATGGCACTGATTCGAGAAGTCGTTGACGATTTCCCTTTCGTCGCCATGGATACTGATTCTAGGCAGATGTTTTAGTGCAATATATAAGTTGTTAACATGTTAAATTTATTTGTATTGCGTTAAACAAATTAATATCATACTTTTAGAGTAATCTAGATAGCTGCCAATGTATTTGCTCTAAAACGTAGATAGCTGTCAATATCTTAGCTCTAACTAAGTTTTAATGTTTTGAAAATAAATAACATGTTAGTGAATACAAATATTATGTTAGAGATGATGAATAAATTGTTAGCGGATAAAAATAGTATATTAGAAACGTTAAATAAATTATTAGCGAAGACAAATTTAGTGTTAGCAAGATAACATATCCTTTATTGATGTAAACTTAGTATTAGCAAGATAACATAACATTTATCATGCTAATAAAATATGTAGTATGATAATAAGTTATGTAGTTGTACAACTTATATGTTAACGAAAGAAAAATAATGAAAGAGAAACTTCATACCGGGAAGAAAGACTCCTAACAAAAGAAGGAGATGTTAAAAAGTAATAACACTTTCAAAGTGTCAGATAACTGTCTTATCAATTTACTGTTTTCTCATTTACTTAATTTTGACCAGAATGTAGAATTTTTAGCAAATTATCTCTTTTATATATTTAAAAACAAAATCAAAAAGTTTTGATATGAAAACCTTTTAACAAAAAAAATTATATATATATAATATATAGAGATATATATATAATATATAAAGGCATGAGCCTTGGTTTTATACATCTGATTTGATTTAATCTATTTCGTTGATACTCATGTGTATCATGATCAGTCTATATATAAATTTGGCTAATTGTTTTTTTTCAAAATCAAGCACATTTCAAAAGTCAAAATCGAACTCAAAATGAAAAAAAAAACAAATGAATGAGAAATATGGATTCATAATGGAAAGAAATCAAATCTTAATTTTATGATTTTTCTTTAAAAATATTTTTTTTTTTGTTTAGTATTGTTTCATTTCTTATTGATTATCATTGTATATAAACTGTATACTAACGTAATCAACAAATACTAATGCAAAACTGTTTAAACTCTCAAACAACAACCAATGTTCTTATAGTTTTGGAATGACTTTACTTTCAACCACTTGGCACAACATTAGTATTGTTCTATCTTGAGTACAATGTAACTCATTAGGGCATATATTTTGTACCGACCAGTAACAAGTCCTCGTTTATGTAATACTATATGGTCATTGTTGTTAGGCAGTGATGGTAGACGATGAACTAATTTTGTAGTATAAGTCCAGTGAGGGAGAAAGTAAGCAAGCCAATATATATCTTAGAGTTTCTGCAACGACAATGGTCATAGATGCTAGTTTTAATCATAAAAACTAGATTTTATTCCGTGTATTCGCACGAAATTTTTTTTTATAAATTCAAATAATGCAATTTATATTTTTACAGATATAATGTTTCTAATGAGTGATAAAGATTTTTTTTTGTTTAGATATAATTTATTTTTAGTTTTTTAAATATTATTATGATAGTAATCATAAAAACATAATTCTAACACAGTCATTCTATTAATAAAAAATGACTGTTATTATAATAACATATTTCTAAGTCACACATTCTATTAATCTGAAAAATGATTGTGGTTATGAAATAATAACTCTAACCCACCTGTTCATATTACTATATAATATAAATATTTATTAATTTTAAAATATATATTTTTTTAATATCTTGCATGTTTTGATAACCTTACCCGCATAAGATTATAATTATAAAAAAACAACTTAAACTACTCCATCAAATTATCATATAATATTAATATTTATTAGTTTTCAATATGTGAAATTTTAATCTGATTGATTATGATTAAAAAATATAATAAGATATTTGTTAATCATATCTGTTATTCTAAAAATATTATTTAATTTAAATATTAAATTAAATATAACCTATATTTAAGTAAATTTAAAATAATTTTAGTTAATATCTATTTTAAAGAATTAAATTAATTACAAAAAATAAATAGTTTGAATTTTAAATTAATATCAGTTATATTTAAGGAATCTGTAGTTGTCTAAATTAATATCAAATTTTCGAAATTAAATTTATATATAAAATAAAATATTTTAGAAAAAATTTAGGAGTGTTTGGAAGCAAGCACTAAAAATGCTTCTATTTTGATATAATAGATTATGCAACATAACATATGGTATTCAAGTGGATACGGAGTCTCCTTTAGATTTTTTGCGAATCGACTCCGCTAATAGAAGAATTCGAGTGCTCTATATTTTATTCATCGAAATATGCTCAGAAGAAGTTATCGAAAATCAGATCTTCAAAGATGTGATTCCTGTTTGAGTACTTACTAATGTGTTTTTGATAATGATCTAAAATAGAACTTGTACAATATCGTATATAATTTTTTTTCATTTTTTCCAAAACAAATAAAACAAATTGAGAAAATGAAAGAGATGAAAATAAGTCTATTTTGGATAGTTTCATGCGCTAAAAAAAATTGCTTCAGAAAAAAAGGTTTTGAAAAGTTTAGGAAAATCTTATATATAAAAGTTGCTCAACTCTCTCCATATAAATGTCACATCAGCATTTGAAAGTTGATATGGGAATGACATGTCGTATTTTTAAATTTAAAATTATAGTTTTTAAAGAAAATTAATTAATAAATTTTAAGTGTTAAACCACTCAAAAAATGATTTTTTTAATTAATTGATTCTTAAATAACATTTTTATAAATATTAAATAAGAATTTATGTTGTAATTAATTAAAAATTGTTGTTTTTTGAATAAACTTTTGATTTTTAATAATATTATATTTTAAATTGATTGATTTATAATAATATACTAATACATAATAAATGATGATTATATTTTGTTAAAAGAAACTAAAAATATATAAATTTGAAATAGTTTAAGAAAAAACCATTTTACAGTTTTTAAAAAGAAAATTAATTAATAAAATTTAATATTAAATTTTAAACTACTCAAAACTAAACCATATTTATTATTTGATTTTTAAATAACATTTACATAAATATTAAACAAAAATTTATGTTATAATTAATTAAAAATATTGATGAATATTTTTTGGTATAAACTTTTGATTTTTTAATAATATTATATTTTAAATTAATTGATTTCTAATAATATAGTAACACATAACAAATGATGATTATAGTTTTTAAGAAAAAATAAAAGTATATAAATTTGAGTTGAAGAAAAAAGCCCACACGTTATATGCAGGTATTCACCTAGTTATAGTAATCTTCCCCTAAAATTTATTGATTACTCTAAAGGATCGTAAAAGCATGTTTATCGGACATTTCTTAGTGAGTTTCTAAGATTTTTTGGGCCAAAAAAAAATAAAAAATGGCATTAATTAACAGAAACGTCTCTTATTTAGTATACAAAAGAAACGTCTCTTAGTGGATATGTGGCAAACCCTGATTGGGTTGCGTTTTGGCGACCCAAATTTTTTTTCCCCTTTCTCTTTTTATTTCCTTCGCCCACCAAACCTCTCGACCTTTTGGAGAAAAAATCGCCTTCTCGTCGAAGCTGCACTGATTCAAGCCGTTTTCGATCGAAGAGACAGCCGACAGAGCTTGATTTGAGGTAAGCGATGTCATCTATGGATTCTCTCTCGTTGATTTATCTTTTTATCTCGTTTTAAATGGAATTTCAAGGGTTTGTGGTTTGAGTCGATTGAACTGAAAATCGAATTCCTTTAAAGGTTTTGATCTGTTTGTTTAGCAATAGAGTGATAGATTTGGATGATCAACAAGTTTATGTTCATAGGAGAATGATGATTTGCGGATGCAGATGATGATTTGTATTGATTGAAGTATTGTTTAATCCTCTTCTACAAGTTTCTCTAACGTACCTCTACATTAATCAACATTTCTTAATAGGTTTCTTAACTAAACAATAGTATTTAATTAATATTTAAGAGATTTTTACGGGTCTCTCTAATAAACATGGTCTATCTTCTCTTAAAATTTTATTGATTTTATTTTCCCGCGGCTAATACGAGATGAAGCGCGTAAACGAAAAGGCGAAAAGACCAAAATATGCCCTAAAATCATCATCATAATAAACAAAATAGGATCTTGTCTAGAAGAGTTTTTTTCCTCTCTCTCTCTTCTCTCACTATAATCTTTGAGAGAGAGAGAGCACTTTTTCTCTCCATCTGTAAATATTTCCGATCAAAATCGGATCTTCTCTTCCGTTTATCGGAGAATAATCTTCGGCTTTGACCGATAATAATTTTCCGACATAGTCGGATTGTGTGTTTGCCCTTTCTTCTCTGACTTTTGGAACCTCTTATAAGTGAGGCGGTGATAAAATCCGGTGTGAAAGTTCGTGATTCTACTTCTTCAATTTAGGTATCATCCTCTCTTGATAGGGAGAACTCTCCCCAGAATCCCATCGTGAGCCTTTAAGGCAAAGGGATCAATCCAGAGTTGCAGATGATTGGTGGTTTTTATGAAGAAGCTAGTTTGCTGTTCAATTTTTCACCGGATTTCAATGGAGAAGAAAATAAACGAAGAAGGAACAACAGATTCAAGGTGAATGCAGTCCCGATTGGAGTTTTAACTCAGTTTAAACTCTTCGGGTTTCGGTTTTACGGCGGAGCTCTAACCGGCGAAGCATCGACAGCATCTTCATCCCGTTGCCGACATTCAACCCAGACCTTCCACGTGTTTACCATGTCTCCATATTATCAATCTTTATCTTCTTTGATTTGGGTTATAATTGGGTTTTTTTAAAAGTTGTGGGTCTTAACATCTGTTGTAATCTGCTCGTTTATGGGCTTAATATCAATGCAAAATGACGACAAAAAAAATCATCATCATAATTTTCGAACCAATAAAAAAAACAAAAACCAATTTCTTTTTCATGGCGGAAGAAGAGACGATTCGACCGGAGTTTCCAATCACAAGGGTGAAGAAGATCATGAAACTCGACAAAGACATCAACAAAATCAACTCGGAGGCACTTCACCTCGTCACCTACTCCACCGAGCTCTTCCTCCGCTTCCTCGCCGAGAAATCTTCGCTAGTTACGGCGGAGAAGAAGCGGAAAACGGTTAACCTCGATCATTTGAGAATCGCCGTGAAAAGACACCAACCCACGAGCGATTTCCTCCTCGACTCTCTCCCTCTCCCTTCCGCTCAGCCCGTCCGAGTCGCTAAAACTGTGTCGGAGAAGAAGCCGCCTCCTGTCGGTACCCGTCGCATCGACCAGTTCTTCTCTAAAGGGAAGGAGAAGAAAACTGATTCCCCCTAAATTGAAAGTTCCTCTTTGCTTTTTTGGGTTTTGGTTAATTTCTAGTGAGAATCTGACCATTTGGATCGAGATGATATGGCATTTATAAAGATATTATCTTTCTTCTATCTTTTATCTTACATGTTCATGATTCTCTAATTTAGAGTATAGAAGTGAAACAATCAAAGCTAAGAACTTTGATAAATCAGTGTGATATTCCTCAGGTTTAACCGTGTGATAAACTGATACCACCTAAACCAATTTCTTCAATTCAATCTCACATTTTTGATACTGGTTAATTTGTTTGTGAGAATCTGACCAATTGGATCGGGAGGATTTGGAATTTTCTTCTGTCTTGTACCTTACATGTTTAAGATTATTGTCCTTTTAGATACAATCTTGAGTGTAAAGTTTCAAACTTTCTTTCTTCTCTAATTTGGTTTTAGAAGTGAACCAATCAAGCTAACAACTTTGATAAATCAGTCTCTATTGCTCATGTTCTAGAGGATTTGGTTTTTGTAATGCTATCTTTCTTCTGTCTTGGTATCTTACATGTTTGTGATTCTTGTCCTTAAGATTCGATCTTGAGTCGTAATCGAAAAAGTTACAATCTTCCTGTATTCTCTAATGTTGATGAGAAGTGAAACAATCAAAGCTAAAATCTTTGTGATATTAATCAGGTTTCTTTAAGAGAAAGATCATTATTATCTATTGCGCATCTTCTCGAAAGTTTCTAACATATCACCAAGAAAGTTTAGAAGTGTTTTTCATCAAAATTAACATATTAGACCAAAGTAGCAGAAGAGTCATTGTAATCCATCTTCTTTCCATATTTCTCTAAGGAGCTGATATCTTACAGTCTTTCTGCGTCCATATCCCTTGGGCATCCACTCTGATGAACTCGTTGTTCCAGGAGCAGATATTATTGAGTTGATGGATGTATCCAAGTCATCTAGCTCGTCGTCGCTCGTGTATTGTTTATTGTATACCGATGATCCGGTTTCAGATAAAGACGGATTGTTCAACTCTCCAATGAACCGTTTTATGGAATCTGCAGATGGCATTAAGTAGACTGTTGGCGATGCAGCGCAAGGGAAGACTGTGATGCATCCATTGTCTTCCTCTGTTACGCCCTGCGTTGAAGAAAGAAAGGGTCAAGAACACACACACACACAATGATTATTGAAGCCAATGGATGTGAAGACGGTTTTTCTAACCTCGGAATTTAGAACATCGAATAGCCTTCTCGGGATTCGATGCGGGTTAAACTCATCTGGGACAAAGTTTCGTAGAACTCTCTTTATTATTGGTGGACCAAGAGTTGGACAAACCTTCAAGATAGGATCAAGAGGAAGTCAAACTTAGCTCTCTTATTGTTGTGTTTTGGAACAAGAAGAGTTGAGTTATGAGTCTAACTACCTCTTTTCTCGTGGATTTGTCTGCAAGCATTTTGAAAGGAAGCATCATTAGATCACCTAACGAGTTAAGCAAATGGAACAATCTGAAATTTTCAGATTCTGGCTTCTCCTTATTATTAGTATCCTCATCTTTGCTCCGACCAGTTTTGTCCTCTCTTTGCTCGAACTGATCCTCAAGCCATCTGGACCAAGTTCCAATCTGCAAATGGCATGTACAGTTACATACAACCAAAAGGATGTTTTGGCGGTTGAGGAACACTGTTCATGTGAGCTTAAGGCTTAAGTTACCGCGTTTTTTAGCTGAGCGCCTGCGCCAAAACTTGCGTTTCCTGCTGGAATCGGAAGAACATTTATGTCGCTAATCGGGTCAGAGACAGGATCTGTCGGCATTTCACCTGCTGACTCACGAAGTATCGCGTTGAACATTGCTACATCAAGTCTACTGATCAACTGTTCCATGACCTGGTTACATAAGCAAAATTAAGCATCTTATAACAAGAAATGTTAACCATGGAAAGTGAACATTTTTGGTTTAGACTGGTCAATCCAGGTTAACCGACTATTCTGTTTGATAAACCGAAAAATTAGAATCTCATACCAGTTTAGCAAGCATAGGTAGACAACCACACTCTTGTCTTGAACCTCTTAACGGACAAAGTCTTTCACAGGCAGCTCTAAACGCATTCTTCCATAGCTCTATAGCATAGAGTCCCTGGTTCTTGTGACCTAACCGTCTTTTACCGGAGACTTTCCTTGATATCGATCCTTTGACCGGTGCAGATTGCATATACGGCGTCATACTCTGCAATTGGATTTCATTTCTCATTAACGGTTTGATGAAAACTCTTTTTTTTTTTTTTTTCTCTTTGACAAACCCATTTGGAAAATTTGATCTCTTTTGATTACCTGCCACCATACTGATTTAACAACTCGGGAGAATATCCAAGATTCAAACTTCTCCAAAGCCGCAAGAAATGCTCGAGGATCTTCCCATTCATATGAACCCGGTTTTACTAGAGACAAGGTTCAATTTCTCCATACCACGGCTTAAAATCGCTCTAAGCACAATCGAGTTTGATAGCCAAAAGGTTAACCTGTTGACATTTATACAAACAAACAACATTATAATCATATGCCCAGATGCAACCACCAAGTATATATGTACAGTTATGTACCTGGGAACATCATTTCCACATGCTTTAGAAACTAATATCAATCCAGAAACCGCGGCTTTAGCCGCGCAGGCTCTCTTAGAATGATCTGAGCTATTTTCTTTACAAGCATGAAGATAAAACCTAGCCAGACGACGAGCTGGAGCATGAACCTTGCTCATTGAGCTGCTATGCTCAGCGACCACAGAGTAAACAGCTGCTTCAAGAGCCGCAGATTCTTTAAGCTCATCTTCAAGCGTCTCTATTCTAGACTCTTGCGGAGTTATCAAACCTAACTTGTTGCTCACTCCACTAGTCTTTTTCTGATTATCATCATTGATCTTTCCATCAAAATGCAACTGAATAGACTTAAGCTGTTTAAGTCTTGGAACACCTTCCATTCCAAGAGTCTTTCTTCCTAACGCAAGGGTGTTTGTCCGAAGTTTCATCTGTTTTCGCGCTGCATCGGGAGGTAAAGAAATAGGAGCAGAGTTGATCGCAGAGAACTGTTTCTTGAGCCGGAAGGCGTTTGTATCATTCTTGTGGTTTTGATTACTCTCTGAGCTCACAACCACTGATTGATTGCTCTGTCTCTTTCTCTCTTCTTCTCTTAGTAGATTCTCGATCTCGGAGACGAGTGCTGCTTCATTGTTACTGTGCTTTAGCGTTACATGTTTCCAACCTTTCTCATCTCCATTAATCTCTGTCTCTGTGTTCTGCTTTTGTTTCAACGGCTCAAAAAGTTTAGTTTTACTTCTTTAATGAAACTCGATTGTGATCTTTATCGATTCTAAGATAATTAAATTAATATAGCTCAAAAGTACCCATTCCAATAAACACAAATCATTGCAACAATTGTAATACTAAAAATCCCAAACATATCTACGCGTCCTAATAAAACACAGGAATTTAAAAAGAGTAGAAAAATACACTAAAGTATCATATTTTAAGTTTTTGTTTCCAATCATACCAAATATTATTATGTGAAAATAACTGTTTATCCAAATTAATTTACAAACCAAATGAAGACATTACTTTTGGATTCCTCTTTACCAATCTCCGGTTTAAATTTCCCCATTAGATAATGGTTTTAGTCATTTTTTATATTAAATTTGTGGTATTAGTGGGAAAATAAACTAGTGGTAATACAAACAAAGTGAAAAGTGTAGCATTTTAAAGAATTGCTCATTTAGTAAAATTATTAGATAACGTGTGGTAAGTTGTTTAGAAAACTGAAGATTACATGACTTGACTAATATGACAAATGAAAAATGTAATTGACTAATAGCAGAACGTTTAAATGATCCATTAACCGAATATTTAAGATGAATAAAGTTTTCACATAATAATAAAAATAAACCACGAAAATGCTTTTAGACTTTAAGTAAATCAGTGATGTTTTCTTTCTTTTGGCTATTCAATATTTTCAACACCCAAAGTATACAATGAAAATCGCTTGTATTAAAAATGTGAAAATTTGATAAAAATTTGGATGGTAAAAAAATAGAGAAATTATATTTTCAAAACGTAGAAAAGTGGATACTAATTATCACCTATAATGTTTTCTTTCCCTAAAAAAAACAGAGAATTTTATTTTATTTTAAAAAACTCGAGCATAGACGTGCGCACCTCAAATCCAATGCAAAACACTAAGCGTCACAATAATCAAAAGAGTAAAATATAGAAAAATGATAAAATATGAAATGCGAGTACCGTGGGATTAGCATCACACATAGCTGAGAAAGAAACCCTCCGTGTAGAAGAAGACTGCGAAGAAACATCATCATCATCATCCGTCAACGACGCCAAACTAAACTCACTACCTTCTTTATCAACAGATCCTCTCGAGAAGCTCATCTTTGGCTGCGATGAGCAGCTACTCCGATAACCATCATCGTCATCTTCCCCGGCCGGCTCAATAGTTAGGTAAATCTCCGAGTTACCATCGTTTCTCGAACTCTTCTTGAAAGTAAAGGGAGCTCCAACAGGAACCAAACTAGTCAACACGCCATATTCAGCAATGTTGACCACGGCTGAGCCAAGAAGCTTGTTCTTGACGCCCTTGTCTTTCTTCTTGGCATCGTAGACGTTAAGTTCCAGAAGATTTTTCTGGAACTTATTGTCCGTCCCGCCTTTGGGTTCTAGCGTTAGTGTAAGCCTAAAGGACTCGTTGAACATGATCGTGTCTTTGCCCACGACTGCTATGAATGAGCCTGAGCTGTTTTCTCCGTTCTCCCATTTGAGAAGGACGCATTGTGCAGGGACCTGGCTCGTTGGCCATGGCTTTAGCTCCTTGATTGAGATTAGATACTCAACGAACACTCCATTGTCTTTACGGCTCTTTGTTCGAAGACCTAACACCATTCTTTTCTTTCTTTGATGTAGAAAATTTGGTGATTGTTGATTATGAGTTATTAAAGGATGTCTTTTGATTTTGGCTTATAATGGAGTTCATGTTTTGGAGCAGTAATAAACAAAACCACCGGCCTTAAACGGACGTGGGTTGCACTTGCACCATTTTCTTTTCTTTTTTCTGCTTATTATACAAGCAGGAGCATAGTAATGCTCTCATATACCTTGAGGCTTTATATATAGAAAATTTTACTCATTCTACTCTTGGAACTAGCTAATAAACGCAACAAATTTATCATATTGATTAGATAATAATAACCATTTTTCAAAGATGATTTTGAATTAAAGGTATTATTATAAATTGGAAAAAAGTACATATATCAACTAAATTTTATAGTTAGTGCCAAGCAAACCGAATTAACCCAAACAAAACTTTTCGATTTCTGGTTTTTGCTTCAGTTTTGAGGGGTCGAACCGATCAGCAACTAAAAGATTGGGATCGGTTATCGGTTCTTCATTTTTTTTAATTTTATATTTTTCTTTCCAACCGATTTCTATTGGATTATACCAGATTCTACCAAGATTTATGAAAATAAAAGAGAACCAAATTAATCGAATATAACAGAATTTCAACACAAAAACCAAAAAAATTGGTTAGTTTTAGTAAAATTTAAGATACCCGAACTAATCAAAAACAAAACCGAACCGTAATTATTTTGGTTAATTTCAGTTCGGCTTGGTTAACCAGATTCCCAGGCCTAGATACAATGATTAAAAGCAAACAATCGTCAAACAGTTGATCCCTAGTGGCATGGACATAATAATCACATAATACTTCAAGTCCCAAAACTCCAAAGTGATAATTCAAAAGACACTCAATATCACATTAAAATGCATAGCAAACTTGATTTAAGTGAACGGTAAAAAAGATTCTCCACGGCAAGTGAACGAACAACCATATTCAATGTTGACCTAGTAGAAGAACCAAATCCACAAAATCCTAAATATTGCTATCACAAAACCACAACCTTTTTCACAAGCATCGAACCTCAAACACATAGCTAAACTACAAAGGATGATACAGTAGCTTAAATGAATACTAGTTCCTTCGGATCTAAAGCACCATTTGATTGGATATTGAATACTGACTAATTTCACAACCCTCATCACAACCAACAATTTGCAGTTCTCTTAAAGATGTTTGTCAATACCTGTTTTTCTCTATATACTGAAGACAAAACATGAATCAACCAATCTTGCTCATATTTGCGTATCAATGCATTTGAATAGTGTGTTCCTTGAAAGTTACAACAGCTCATGGGGTTGTGCAATGTAGTTTTTCACACACATCGAACTCCAAACACATAGCTAGATTACAAGGGATGATACAGAACGGTAACTGAAAACTAGTTCCTCCAGATTCAAAGTACCATTTGGTCTAAAGCATCACAACCACCAATTTACAGTTCTCAATCTTATCTCTTGAAGATGTTTGTCTATAAATTGAAGACAAGAAAATGAATCAACCAATATTGAGTATATTTGCTGTCACTTTTGTGTATCATTCGATTAATGTGTTCCATAAAATACAACAGCTCATGGGTTTGTGCATTGTGCAATGTAGTTTTCAAACAATTGCTATATAACAACTAAACCCGAATGCTAGTTCTACACTTTTCCACAGTTTTCGTGAAGTCCCAACATTAAAGACTCACATCACAGGATATCAATGATGTCCATAAGTTAGTTGTGGTTGTCACCTGGTCATAATTTCCAGTCGGTTTCAAGGTGACTGCATTTTAGTGAGTCTTGTACTTTATCCAATGCTCTCTTCCGGTGTTGCAGCAAAGCATCACTCTGATTTATCTCCTCGTCTTTCTTTCTCCGAGGTAATTTTCTTGACAAGATCTTCCATTTCGATTCAAAGGAGGAAGCTGGTGAATTTAGATAAGAGAAGAAGGTTCATCATCCATAAGCATATACATATACAGTACTATTACCAGACCCATGTTTCATAAGGCAATGTAATGTAAAATTATACCTTGGCTTAGACAAGTGAATCCAGTGATGATACAGGCACAAAGCCAAGGCCTTCCTGCACTTGAAGCTTTTGCACCACCTCTAATTTCACCATTGTGCTGCTTTAATCTGCACCAACAACCAAAAAGCACTTTCCTTTAATTAAAATTCTCATGCTTACAAATTGTAATATCAACCAAACAACCAATCTTTCAGGAGCAAAACCTAAATGATGAAATCTACCCAAAATCAAATTCGATTTCAAAGCACTTTGCTTTTTCAAAACCCCCAAGATTTTCATGCTTACAAATTGGAATATCAAATCAATAACCAATCTTTCAGGAGAAAACCTAAATTCGATTTCAAAAACAGTGTTTAAGGGAGAAGTACGAAGATGACGAACCGGCGAGCAATATCGGTGGTGATGCCGACATATGTTTTGATGGGTTCGTTGGTAGAGAGAATGAGATACACGGACCAAGATTTGGGTTTATGGGTCTTCGAGTTTTCTTGTGAATAAGAAGATGAAATCGGAATCGAAGATTTCAATTCTTTGAAGTTCGGAGCTTTAAGGCTAGGGTTGTGATCGCAAAGCTTCACGGACGGGAACGTCTTAGATATCAACCTCATCATCTCAATGCTCTCGGTATCTTCATCATCATCGCAATAAAGATATCGAAACCAGAAAAAATAAAATGACTTCGATATTAGTCTCAATTCTTGCCAAAGTTATGTTTTGAAGGAAGAACATATTTTGATTAAACACGAAATTGTCTATTCCACGTGAAAGGAAAAGAGACAAAAACGGTAGCCGAGGTTTAACGGCAGTCGATTTCGCTTCGGATTTGGTTTGATTACCGGTTTAGGTTCAGATCGTTTTTTTTTTTTTTGGGTTTTGCGTATTTACTTGAAGTTTAGAACCCGAATAGTTATTTTTTTTCCGGGTTCGGTTCGGTTTATTCAACCTGCATTCGAGTCGATTTCAGATACTAGAAACTTATCGCAAATATCCAAAAACCTTTTTAAAAAGAGTTTAACTTAGGGTTTAATGCAAACAAATATATCACCTTTATTATTTTTTTCAAAATTGATGAATTTGGGGGTATAAAGATATACAAATTTTTGATGTTTCGCCTATGATTTGGTAAACAAGCAAATTAGCTCAATAATCTAAAAGCAAGTTGAATTTGTAAAAATGAACTGGATCCACCTAAAACTATCGGTATTGTAGGGATAGTTATCAGCAAATACCATATTACTCCCATAAAGTTTTGACATGTCTTTTATTAAGTTCTGACAAGAGATATGATAATTTTATAGAATGACTGAAAAAAAATGTAGAGTATGGCAAATATTTTTTTCCGTTAATCACAGCCACACAAATAGTTTCCGTCAAACGAGTAATATACATTATAATAACAAATTATATATTTTGTTATAGATTAAAAATTATTATATCATATCATATATAAACATATAAATTTAGATATAATATTGTGTTTTACACAATAAAAATAATGTTAGATTGATAACAATAATAAGTTATATAGATGATTAAAAATATTATTGATATATTTACTACGTTACATATAAATTAACGTCTAACATTATAATTTACTAGATAAAAAATATATTAAATTGATAACAATAATGAGTTATATAAATGATTAAAGATGTTACTGATATACTTAGCACATTACATGATCAAGCCCTGAACTACTCTCCAATAGTTGTGATGATGATGATCGGATATTTGATGTATTTTCAGAATGAAGTGAAGTGTTTTGGGTTGGTGAATGATCGTAAACTCGGGGAAATGCCTTGATACATCTAAGAGAGCTGGAAGATCTTTTAGACTATCAACAGAAAATTTTGCTTATAAGGAAAGGATGAAAATCCGAATACACTTAATCAAGCTAGTGATCAAACAAGTTCAAAGAATAGTTGAAAAGAAAAGGTTGATAACTTGAAAAGAAGGAGAAGGAGTCGTACATATAGAGTCTTGGAACACTTAGGAAATAACAAAGACAGCTAATGACTTAATGACTCAAAGACTAATCGTTAAAACAAAGTTTGAATCTTGAAAAATAGGCTCATCCCTTCCTTGGAAGAATTGGTGAATGAACTTGGGCTGAATTTCATCAAGAGGCCTCTTATTTAGTGTTGTGAACAAGCCTCATTAAAAACCTTGTTTGAAAAACCCAATTGAGACAAAACCAAACCAAAGGAAAAAAGAGCACGAGTCACAACACCTCTCTTGATGAACGCTTAAGTGGCTTGGATCAAAACCAGTCTAGTTGGATTAGCACACTTAAGATTGCCCTGAATAGCGTGTAGTAACTTGTGAAAAGCTTGCTTAAACTTGATCACTTTGGCTCTTGTCATTGGTCCAAGAGGAAGATGCAAATCCTTGTATCCGTCTTCACTTTCTTCCTTTGGTTAAGCTGCTCTTTATCTTCATTAGACTCTGGCTTAAGCTTTCCTTCTTCTCCATTAATCTCCTCAGTTCCAAAGCTGGCCATGATCATATCATCCTCTCCCACTTGAAAAGGATTTTTCCTCAAATCTGTATCTTCTGCAAGAAAAGGAACTAAGTCAGAAACATTGAAACTTGAACTCACAGTATACTTACCTTGGAGATCCAATTGGTAGGCATTGTCGTTGATCTTCTTAATGATCTTGAATGGTCCATCAATTCGGGGCATGATCTTAGACTTTCTCTCATTGGGAAATCTATCTTTTCTCAAGTAGATCCTCACCATATCTCCTTCTTCAAAGATCATTTCTTTTCTGTCCTTGTTGGTGTGTTTGGCATAGTACTTTGTCTTGTTTTCTATGTTGGTCTGTGCCTTCTCATGGATCTGCTTCACAAGTTCTGCCTTTTTCTTTCCATTCAAACTAACTTTTTCATTCAAAGGTAAAGGCATTAGATCCAATGGTGAGGTGGGATTGAACCCATAAACAATTTCGAATGGGGAAAACTTAGATGCAGAATGCTTAGCATAATTATAAGCGAATCTACATGTGGCAAACATTCTTCCCAAGTTTTAAGGTTCTTTGTAATCAATGCACGCAACAAAGTAGACAAAGTTCTATTTATCACTTCAGTTTGACCATCTGATTATGGATGACATGCAGTAGAGAAGAGCACTTTGGTTTCTAACTTAGACCATAAAGTTTTCCAAAAGAAACTAAGGAACTTAGCATCTCTATCAGAAACTATAGTTCTAGGCATGCCATGCAATCTCACAATATCTCTAAAGAACAACTTAGCAACATTCATGGCATCATCGGTTTTATTACATGAGATGAAATGAACCATTTTAGAAAACATGTCTACAACCACAAAAATAGAATCCTTTCCAGTATTAGTCCTAGGAAAACCCACAACAAAATCCATAGAAATATCATGCCATGGATGCAAAGGAATATGCAACGGAGTATACAAACAGTAGGCTTGTTTGCAAGTAACACATCGTTCACATGCTTTCTCAATGTCTCTTTTCATATGTGGCCAATAAAAGTGCTATTCGACTGTGCTCAGAGTTTTGGCAACACCAAAATGACCCATTAGTCCACCTGCATGAGCTTCTCTGACAAAGAGATCTCTAATAGAAGAGTTAGGCACACATAAACGGTTTTCAAAGAATAGGAAGTCATCAAATCTATAGTATTTACCACTTCAAAACTTCTCACTTGAAGCATATATATCCTTAAAATCGGCATCAGTAGGATAAAGACTGTTGATATGTTTAAAACCTAGTAATTTAGTCTCTAAAGAGTTCAAGAGAACATACCTGCGAGATAATGCATCGGCAACAACATTATCTTTACTTTTTTTGTTCTTGATGACATATGGAAAGGTTTCTATGAATTCAATCCATTTAACATGTCTTTTGTTTAGCTTCTGTTAGCCCTTGAGGTACTTAAGAGACTCATGATCTGTGTGAATAATGAATTCTTTGGGCCAGAGATAATGTTGTCATGTTTGGAGAGCTCTAATAAGCGCATAAAGCTCCTTATCATATGTAGGATAATTTAGTGTAGCTCCTCCAAGTTTTTCATTAAAGAATGCAATAGGCATCACATTCTATCTCAAAAGTTTTATTAAAGGCAGGGAGAGAAAGCACCGGAGAATAAGTAAGCTTTCTTTTCAAGGTTTGAAATGCTTCTTCCTGATCTTGTTCCCACTTGAACCCCACGTTTTTCTTTGACAAATCTCCGATAGAAACCCGCAAGTCCATGAAAGCTTCTTACTTCACTAACAGATTTTAGACTTGGCTAATCTTTGATTGCTTTTATCTTTTCTTCATCAACCTTGATTCCATCTGCACTCACAACAAAACCTAAAAAGACAAGGTTATCTGTTCCAAACGTGCATTTCTTTAAATTAGCATACAAGGTCTCTTTCCTAAGCACTTCTAAGACCTTTTGGAGATGTTCCACATGTTCATCTAAACTCTTGCTGTAAATCAGAATGTCATCGAAATAAACCACAACAAAATGACCTATATAAGCTCTAAGAGTATGATTCATCAGTCTCATAAACGTGCTAGGTGCATTTGTTAACCCAAATGGAATGACTAACCATTCGTATAAGCCATGTTTAGTTTTAAAAGCGGTTTTCCATTCATCACCCTCCTTCATTTTAATCTGGTGATATCCACTTTTTAAACTTACCTTAGAAAAGATGCTAGAACCATGTAATTCATCAAGCATATCATATAATCTAGGTATAGGGTGTCGATACTTCACCGTTATGTTATTGATGGAGAACAAGTTGACCAAATTCACCAGTCCTGGAAGACGCTCACCTACGGAAAACAAGTGTTTTACCTGCCCCGGAAGACTTCCACCCCCGGTGGACCTATGCCGAGCCACAAGGCCCAACATCAAAGCCCATTTTGTTATTTTTCTGCAGAGAAGCCCTAAATGAGACCTATAAATACATTTCTTAGCAACCCTAAACGCGTGTGTGCTCCTGTAATGAGATTTTGAGCCACCAAACATTGTTTTTCTAGGGTTAGGCGATGGAGATAGGGATTCTTCCCCTGAACCATTGTTCTTTCTCCTGTTTACTAATTAGCTTTTCTATTTCATGTCTTTTATCATTCCTTGCATCATGTAGATTAGTCTCAGAGAGTCAACTTTCTAAAGAGTGTTCGATAGGTATACATGTTCGATTAGGATTTCTAAGTTTCTAAACCATATTCTGGATCTCATCTCTTCTAAGTTGTTCATACTGCATGAGACTAGATTCATGACCTATTCTCTGAGCCTAGGATCGATCAAAGACACGAGAGTGTTGTATCAGATCATCCATACCTAGCTTCAGAAGAACATAGTCGCTAAAGGAGTCGAGAGCTACCTGTAGAGAAGATGTGAGCAAACGAATTCAATAGTTAATGCATGATCTTATACCTGGTATGAGAACAAGAGTTAATTGTCAGATTTAAGTGATTAGTTGATTAAGATGACGAGAGTTGGTTAATCATACACATCTCTATTCCAATTCCATGCAGATCCCAGAAACAGATCGATGAAGATAAATCACTCAGAAGCTAATTGGAAATGCTTTGACATCGATTAGAGTAAACCGGAGAAGTCTAAATCACCCACTATGAGTCTAGAGTCTATAGTTTGAGCGAACACCCTTGAGATATTTTTTTAACAACTCATTTGCATTAAATTTAATTTCCCGTAAATATTAGATAAAGTTTAGTTTATGATCCCGTAACCAAAAATCTCAAACCCCCATGAGTTTATGACTTTGCTT